TGTTGAACCAATCTTGCATCCCAGGAATGAAGCCTTCTTGGTCATGGTGGATGATTTTTGAGATGTATTGCTGAATCCGGTTTGCTAGGATCTTGTTGAGAATTTTAGCATCTATGTTCATCAAAGATATTGGCCTGTAGTTCTCTTTCTTTGTTGGACCTTTACCTGGCTTGGGTATCAGTGTGATGTTGGCTTTGTAAAATGATTTGGGGAGAGTTCCATCTTTTTCAATCGCCTGAAATACCTTCAGTAGGATTGGTATCAGCTCCTCCTTAAATGTCTTATAGAATTCTTCTGGAAAGCCATCTGGACCAGGGCTTTTTTTTGTAAGAAGTTTTCTTATTACGTAGTCGATTTCCTTGATTGTTATTGGTCTATTTAGGTTCTCAATTTCTTCTTGTTCCAACCTAGGTAGGTTGTGTGATGTCAGAAAGTCCTCCATTTCCTTAAGGTTTTCAAGTCTGAATTTCTAAGAGAAAGCATATGTAGGATGTTGTATTTTGCAAACTTATTTATCCCCAGACCACCTAGTAACATTTTTCAGGAAAATGTTTTGAGCACACAAATTGGATCTGTTTTAGAAATTTATATCTTTGAGCATGCAGTGCTGAGGACTTGCCTTTTTTTTTTTTTGTTATAGTAGTAATGTGGTAGCATTCACATATGTTGCTTTTCCCTAATTCTTTAAGATATTTTTCTTTTCTTTCTTTCTTTCTTTTTTTTTTTGACTCTGAGTCTTACTCTGTTTCCCATTCTGGAGTTCAGTAGCACACTCACGGCCACCAAGCCTTGACCTGCTGGGTTCAGGTGATCCTACCCCTCAGCTTTCCACGGGCTGGAACCACAGACAGGCTCCACCATGCCAGGCTGATTTTTTTATTTATTGTAGAGACGAGGTCTCACCAAATTTTCCAGGCTGGTCTCAAATTCCTGGGCTCAGGCAATCCTCTTGCTTCTACCTCCCAAAGTACTGGGATTATAGGTGTGAGCCACCACACCTGACTAATTTTTTGATTTATTATAGAGACGAGATCTCACCAAGTTGACTGGGCTGGTCTTGAAGCCCTGGGCTCGGGTAATCTTCTCACTTCGGCCTCCCAAGGTACTGGGATTACAGATTTGAGTCACCGTGCTGGCTAAAGCATGTGTTTTTAAAGATGGCTGATAGGATCTGGGGTGCGATTAGTTTGCCGTAATGGGATACATCAGTTAAACACCCATTCTGGAGACACCTGTAGCACTGATCTCCAGTGACTCCATTAAGTGATGTGTTGGCTATAACCTAATGGGAAACAATTGATATTATTCTTTAAATAATTATATTATATTATATTTAAAAATATATTTAAAGAATTATTCTTAAAAAAAAGCAGAATACTCCTAAGAGGGCTTTTGGTTACCTTCCTAATAAGAAAGTACCATATATAAGGTTATCCCTTGCTAGTTTTGAGTAATTCACTTATGGATAGTATTTTATTTATACTTTAAACAGAAATGCTAGCTTATATTCACTAATTGTGCCATCTATCTAAGACTATGTTCTCTTCCCTCCTGCTGATAAGAGATAGACATTTAACCTTTAAGAAGTAGATAGAAGCCAGGCTCAGTGGCTCAGCCTGTAATCCCGCATCTTTGGGAGGCTGAGGTGAGTGGATTGCCTGTGCCCGCGGGTTCAAGACCCGCCTGGGCAGCGAGACTTCATCTCTACCATAAATCAAAAAATCAGTAGTGCGTGCCTGTAATTCCGGCTACTCAGAAGGCTGAGGCGGAAGGATCGCCGGAGCCCAGCAGGTCGAGGCTGCGGTGGCCGGGAGCGGCCACTGTACTCCAGTGTGGGCGACAGAGTGAGACTCCAGCTAAAAAAAAAAAACGTAGGTAGAGCAACATTCTGTCTCATTTTTGCTTTGATTTATGTGAGCACTGATAATAGCTTTTCTGTGAAAACTGTATGGTTCTATATACTCTGCCTAGTGAAACAGTTCCATGTTCCTGGAAATCATCTTTTACTTCCTACATATATAGCTGGAAGCAACTAGTCTTGGCATATCTTGGTTGAATAGTGTTCTATTAGCAATGATATGTGAAATACTAGACACTGATTAAAAGTAGGAAATATTCGCTACTGTTTTAAAATTAGCCTGCAAGCTCTCACCAATGCAATGAGACACGAAACAAAAATAAAAGGAGTGATTATTGAAAACTGGAGATAAAATTTGTATTACTTGAAAACAATTTTTTTTTAAATTCAGAGTCTCGGTCACTCAAGCTGGAGTGAAGTGGTACAATCACAGCTTACTGCAGCCTCGACCTCCTGGGCTCAGGAAATACTTTCACCTCAGCCTCCCAAGTAGCTGAGACTACAGGCATGTGCCATCACATCCAATCAATTTTATTTATTTTTCATAGAGACAAGGTCTTGCTATGTTGCTCAGGCTGGACTCAAACTCCTAGGCTCAAGCATTCCTTCCACCTCGGCCTCCCAAAGTGCTAGGATTGCAGGCATGAGTCACCACACCTTGCCATACAAAATTCTTTATATCAAAACCTGAGAGAAGTTAAAAAATAAAATTTAAGTTTAATGGAACTAATTAGATAGGAGGGGGATCCCAAAGCCAGAGCTCTTTTTTGTACAAATATGGTTTGATATCCACAGTCTTGTTACAGCTATGGTTGGTGAAATTATACATAGAAAAATTAAGTTTGCACTTTCAAATTAGAGAATCAGGAGAGAGCACCACCCTAAAAGCTAAAGGAGATGAAAGTTGTCAGGAAGGTTTAACAGCCATGGTAAATGTAGATAGATTGATTCAAGTGAATCCTACAGACACTGCTGATGGCCTGGGACCCTGGGCTTCCTTGAACAGAGCCATGTTGGTTGGTGAAGTGAAGAAAGTGGGAGCCAGACCACGGTGGTTTAAAAATAAATGTACATAAGAGCCAAGGCATTTGAGAGAGAGAGACGAGAGAAAGTGTTTTGTTGCTGCAGCTATCTTTGTCCTTTTTGTTTGTTTTGGGAACCCTTCGTTGTCTCCCAGGTGAGTCTGGAAGCCCCTTACCATCAGGATCTGTTTCTGTGAGGCCTGGAGTGCTTGGTACTTCCTTGAATGTGAGAAGCTGTCATTGGCTTTCAGTTTAATTCCTAACTGTGAGTGAAAGTTTTAAAATGGCCTGGCATGGTGGCTTACGCCTATAATCGCAGCACTTTAGAGCCTAAGGCAGGAGGTTTTCTTGAGGCCGGAGTTCAAGACCAGCCTAGGCAACATAGCCTTGGCTCTACAAAAATTAGAAAATAAAAAAATTAGCCCAGTGTGGTGGGAGTGCCTGTAGTCCCAGCTACACAGGGGACTGAGACAGAAGAATCACTTGAACCCAGGAAGTTGAGGCTGCAGCATGCCACTACATTCCAGTCTGGGTAACATTAATAATAATAATAATAACAATAATATAAGGTAATTTTTTTTTGAGTGGGAATCTCACTCTGACATCCAGGCTGGAGGGCAGTTTCACACTCACAGCCACCACAGTCTCAACCTGCTGGAATGAGGGGGATCCTCAGGGGATCCTTCTGCCTCAGCCTTCCAAGTAGCTGGAACCACAGGCATGTGCCACATGCTCAGCTGATTTTTTGATTTATTGTAGAGACGAGGTCTTGCCATGTTGCCCAGGCTGGTCTTGAACCCCTGAGCTCAGATAATGCTCTTGCCTCCGCCTCCCAAAGTGCTGGGATTACAAGTGTGAGCCACTGTGCCCAGCTAAGATAAAAGTTTTGGAACTTTGTGAGCAAAATGCAGAGTGCATCTCAGTGGGCTCTCGCTTATTAAACTACATCCCTGGCTTGAGATGTGCTGTCCCTGTGCCCACAAGAGTACTTATGCACTGCTCGTCTCCTTACCCCCTCCTCTGCCTTTATTCAAGAGCCTCCCTTTGGGCTTTTTTTGCAGCTATGAAGCCCACGTAGTCGAACACCATGATGCTTCTCCTGTCGGGGATGTGATGAAGAGGGGAGTTTTTGGCTTTGGAGTGTTGGGAACCTGAGCGATTGCCGAGGACTCGGAGCCCAGCCCTGACTACTGGAGAGCCCACAACACAATGAACAAATTGAATTTCCATAACAATAGAGTCATGCAGGACCGCCGCAGTGTGTGCATTTTTCTTCCCAATGATGAATCGCTGAACATCATCATAAATGTGAGTAGATCTGATTTCAGAAGTGTTTAAATACTGTGTTTTTACCAGTGACCACAATCAAATTATGGCTTGGGTTAAGGGTGAAATCTCTGCAAAAGACCAGTAATAATGGGGCAGAACTGGGATGTTAAATAGTCCATATAGGTATAAGCTTAGCGTTATGGCTTATCCCTTATAGCGTCCGTTATGGCTTTTACCTTAAGTGCAGCTGCCTTCAACGTTCTCTTTTACCTGGGGTAAAATCAGAGAATTTTGGTTGCTATATTGAAAAACAAACGTGTTTACTTGTTATTTTTAAACTTTTTATTGCAATGTAATTTTTATTGAAGTCTATGAAGTTGTGTTTTACCCACACAAATGAAATGGTACTAATTGCCAGCTTTTTAATATGCATCTTGATTGTTGTTTTAGTCGTAGCCAAAGACTAGCTGATTTCAAGGACTAGTGCATTTGAGCACTAAGCTGTTGCTTATGATTCACAGGTCAGAATAAACTTAGTTAACCTGGATGTTGAGGAATGTATTTTTTAACTTTTTTTTTTTTAAGAATCAAAGTTAGTTTTATTCAGACGTCTTACTGAGCACTATAAACCGAGTCCTGTAGCCTGGAAGCAGCCCTTTAGGGAGGTTCTGTCAGACTGCTATCTATTTTTTAACTTTTAAAAGTTGAGTTGCAATTTATATACTGCAAAGTATAAAAATACTAAGGGTTTAGCTCAGTGAATGTTTTACAAGTGTACATATCCGTGTAGCCATCACCACATCACCAGCTTGAGATGTAACAGCACACCAGAAAGATCCTTTGTGACCATCCCTCCTAGCGAGTATTCTCTACCCAAAGAGTGAGAGCTGTTGGGACCTCTGTCACCATAGAGTAGTTGTGCTTGTTTCTGAACTTCACGCAGCTGAAAATATATTTTACGTGTTCTTTTGTGCCTGGCTTCTTTTACCCAGCATTTCGCCTGTGAAATTCATTCTTGCTATTGTATGTGACAGTAATTATTTCCCATTGTGTGATATTCCATTGTATGAATATGTCCAATTTATATATCTATCTGCTGTTGATAACTACTGGGTTGTTTTAAGTTTTAGGCTATTATGAATAGAACGGTTGTGAACATTTTATGTGTGTGCACATGTGTATATATTTCTGGATTTGCACCCAAGAGTGGATTGGTGAATCATATGCTGTAGATATGTTTAGCCTAGGGAGAGACTGCCAGGCAATTTTATGGTAATCAGTGTCATGCTTAGCATTTTTCAGCCCCTCTCTATATTATCGACTTTCATATTCTTTTTTGCACAGATTGTATCCTGATGGAATTAGGGGGAAAATTGCCTTAGTATATGCCTTGAATTAGTTTTATTTCCTGTATGCTACTATATTTTTAATCCAATTGCTATCTAAAAGATTATTTCTAAGTGTTATACTGAAATATGTATGGCATTTAAATAGATTCATTTAAAAGTTTAGATAGGAAAAGATTCTGCTTATTGCCATAATCATTTGGCTTTATTCCCACAGTCAACACAGTTTCTTGATTTCCTAATGTATCCTCGCTTTCACTCGTACAGATTTGCCCGAGCATTAGGCCTGCTTGCTGGATGAACTTTATCATCTGCTGGGCAGAATCTCCAGCGACTAGCTGTATTCCTGGTCAGAGTACCTGGGGTTGTTTTTGTATGTGTGAAGTAGTAGGCTATTATTTTGGCAGCACTTAGTTTTAAAAACTGAATAAAAACTGGCACCATGTCTCCTTTTTCAGTGTGCACTTGCAAGACAAATTAAAATGTAATTCTCTCTATAGCAAAAAAAACAAAGCAGGGAGGTATCATACTTCCAGACTTCAAACTTTGCTGTTCAGCTACAGTAATCAAAACAGCCTGGTGTTGGTACAAGAACAGGCCCACAGACCAATGGAACAGGACAGAGATTCCGGAAGCAAAGCCTCAATTCCTCAACCAACTCATCTTTGACAAAACCTCCAACAACAACCACTGAGGAGAGGAGAAACTATTCAATAAATGGTGCTGGGAATACTGGCTGACCACATGCAGAAGATTGAAACAGGACCCCTACCTATCACCATACACAAAAATTAACTCTAAATGGATCAAAGACCTAAATGTAAAACCTCAAACTATAAGAATCTTAGAAAGCGTGGGAGGCACCCTTATGGATTTGGAATTGGGAACCAATTCCTATTCAGAACCCTAAAGCCCCATACATTAAGAAATAAGATAGACAAGTGGGACCTCATCAAATTAATGAGCTTCTGCAAAGCAAAAGAAACCATCAAGAGAGCAGGGAAACAACCCACAGAATGGGAAAAAATATTTGCCAATTGTATATCTGACAAAGGCCTAGCAACTAGGATCTACAAGGAACTCAAATGCGCCAAAAGGAAAAAAACAAACAGCCCCTTTAAAAGTGGGCAAAAGACATGAATAGACACTTCTCAGAAGAAGGTATACGGGCAGCCAACAGACACATGAAAAAGTGCTCAGCCTCACTCGTCATCAGAGAAATGCAAATCAAAACCACATTGAGATACCACCTAACCCCTATATGAATAGCCATCATTAATAAAACAAACAACAACAGGTGCTGGCAAGGATGTGGAGAAAAAGGAACACTTCTATACTGCTGGTGGGAATGCAGACTAGTACAACCTCTTTGGAAGACAGTGTGGCGATTTCTGAAAGAACTAAAAATTGACCTTCCATATGACTCAGCAGTTCCCCTATTGAGAATGTCCCGGAGGAACTCAAATTATTCTATGAAAAAGATACCTGCACCACGTATGTTTGTTGCAGCTCTTTTCACAATAGCAAAAACATGGAACCAACTATGTTGCCCATCAAAGCTGGCCTGAATTAAAAAAAATGTGGTACATATATACAATGGAATATTATGTAACCATAAAGAAGGACAAATATATGGACTTTGCAGCAACTTGGATGGATTTATAGTTTATTATACTCAGTGATTTTCATAGACAAAGAACTGAGTTCCATATGTTCTCACTCATAAGCGAACCTTGAACATTTATAATGCTATAAGAAAGCGATTGGCAGTAGTGGAAAACTGTCAGGGGAGGAGGGGTGGGACTGGCAGTGGAGGGAAGCTGCTAGGGGAGGGAGAGGCATACCTCATCAACAATGGTACCTGCATGATCAATGCTTATATACCTAACCCAGAATTGTACCCCAGATCTTTACTATAAATTTTTTTAAATGTAATTCTCACAGATGTGAATATGATGTTTAAGTTCTTTTGTACGGTTAGATCTGCTAAATTTTTTAAAAATTACATATCAGGACATATAGCATCAGCACCTAAGAAACATCTCTCGCTTTCATTTCTGTCTTTTTACCCAGTAGAATGTGTATGTGTGTGTTCATGAATGTGTACACATGTGCAAGATGTGTAGCAAAATATTAGCCACATTAAGTGAAGACTCGTCTGACTTAGTGAGGAATACTAAAAGCTGACTCTAATTTTCAGAGACATCCATTTGTACTGAAATTTCAGCTAAAGAAATTAATGATGGAGAACAGATTGTAAGCTAGCCAGTTTTATCGTTGCTGTAAATCAGTGGTTTTGAAACTGTACATTGGATAATGTACGTTGAATATGTGTACTTGAATTTTTTGGGGGGGAGCTTGCTAAATATTGATATTGTTGGACTCTACTCCTTAGAAATGCAGTTGTAGTAAGTCTGAGGTAAGACATGGGAATCTGTATTATAATCCCCAGACAGGTGCTGTAACATCTCTAACATCTTGAGCCAGACAGGCAAGGACCCGTGTACCAGCACCACCTAGTTTCTTTCACTCTCTAGAACTTTATGTACTGGCTTGTGTTGTTGGCATTGTGTCAGTGACCTGGTTCTCAGAGCAGTACGTGACACATAGTAAGTGCTGGTTGTTGTTTGTTGTAATAATAGAATCATCATTGTTGAGAAGTATTACAAGATTATTCATATTTTGACTCTAGAATTTGCTAGACACGTTACTTAAGCTTACAAACCTTTTTTCATTTGTAAAAGCAGATTGCCCAGTACCTTGTACATAGTAGGTATTCAATTTGTATTAGCTTTCTTTCTGCCTTCCCTTTATAAAATAATTGAGGGGCAGTATGGAAGTGAAAGACATAGTTGTACTTAAAACATATAGATTTGTTTCAAATCATGTATCAAAATGACTTTTGGAACACTAACTGTACCTCCCTCAGCTGCAATGTCTTCATCTGTAAAATGAGAATAATACCTATGTTCCAGAGTGATTGTTACAATCCAGGATTAACATGTAGCGTAATTTCTGACACATGGGTTAGTGGAGGCTATTATTATTTTAACCTCTAGGCAGAAATAATTTTTTTTAAAGATGTGGGGGTACAATTCAGGGTAAGGTATACAAATGTTCCTTATGCAGGTACGCTTGTGATAAATTTTATACTTCTTCAATTTCCCTCTTTTACAACATTAGTGTAATCTCATAAGATGGTCAGGACTCTCTGATCATGGACTGCGAAGCCATATATCAAGGTAAAACTTGGTTTTAGAGTCGTGGAGACTGGGTTGAAATCCCTATTTCATGACTTACTTTGCAATTTAGGGCACATTTCCTAGTTTTTTGGTTATGTTTTGGGGATTTTGTTCTTTGTTTGGTTTTTGCTTTGGTTTCTTCTTCTGTGAAGTTGGGATAATAATCTTACCCTCCTCACAAGGATGTTACGAGGATTTGAAGATGTCACATGCATGGCGTGCTTAGTGAAGTGTTTAGCACGTGTGTGTCACTCAGTAAGTGCGCTTTTAACAGAGTGTCATTTTACCTGTTTTTCTTTCCTTGAGCTGTTTGTTCATTTCATTACTGTGTTCTGTTAATGAAATGAAAATGTAGGCCTATAAGATTTCTTATTCCAGGGCACATAGAGTCTTCTGCCATGCCCAGACGCCTCTCCAGCAAGCAGTGGGTCCAGAGGAGGGGCTGGGTTAA